TCCCAAAGGCCCCATTTTCACACAGCTGATCGGCGGTTCCAAAATGGCCGCCCGCGCTGCCCTCAGTTACCGAGGCGGCGAAAATGGCGGCCCTATGGAGGAAACCTCGCATAGCGGTGAGTTTTCACCCCATATAAACGCATTAAACAAAGTTTAATGCATTTCTATGGGATTTTCCCTCCCGCATTGCGATGTTTCCGTATAGCAATGAATAATCCGGAACGGATTAATGTCGCTATGCGGGGTACCACTGTACACATTATTAAGAAGAGAGAGAGAGACCTGAGAAGTTAGCCCATTTTTCACAGTCCCTTTTCTTCAAATGCATAAGTACAAAAACAAAAACATTTATAAAAGTTATTGACAAGCCTCGTGGCACAGTGGTTAAACTGTGCTCACAACCCGGGGTTCAATCCCAGGTAGCTGGCTCAAGGTTGACTCAGCCTTCTATCCTTCCGAGGTCGGTAAAATGAGTACCCAGCTCGCTGGGGGGGGGGCATGTGTAGCCTGCATAATTAACTTGTAAATCACCCAGAGAGTGCTTGAAGCCCTATGGGGTGGTATATAAGCAACACACTTTGCTTTATTGTGCTTATGAAATACACATTAAAATGTCTGTTAAATAACAGGCTGGTAAACGGTACATAGTTGCTACTTTTCGATTGTGAAATCATGTAGAGAAACACTGTTCTAAATTAAGCTAAGGGTGAAAAAAGTTAAGCAAATAGTATCTATTTTCTAAATCATAGCAGCTGAAAATGGCACAACCATAATCACCAGAACACTGACTAGCTGCTACAGCTTCAGTCAACAAACAGCCCAACCTAGTCTAATCCAAGGGTATACACAAAGCAGAATAATTAAATGTGTACACATCAGAAAAAGGCCTGGATGACCTGTAAAATCAATGTAGTGTCTTTTAAAGTGATATATTAAATATACTCACGAGGAAGAGAAAAAAAGAATCCCAAATTTAATCTCACCTGATGTATTTTAGACTTGGCAGTTTCTGTTAGGGTTCCACTTTCAGCTTTGTGATTAGAAGCATCCTTACTGGCATTATTACCTGACTGATCACAAATTGAGGTAGAAGGATTATCAGTTTTTGAAACCAATGAGCATTTGTTATACAAAACATATAGAGTGCAACTCATGGAACATCTCATGAGGCAGCATCCTCTTCTTTAATCATATTGTATAGCCACAAGAACAATTACCAGCAAACAAGTGACAGAAAAGAACATAAAATGGGCATCTGTGACCCTGAAAAAAACAGTTCTGCCTGTTAACTCAGATGCTAAGAGGCCACAAGAAAGCAGGCAATTTGTCTATGAGATGCAAATTATTCCTTAGCCAGGAAAAATCAATACCTTTGCTTATGTGACCACTTCCAATTTGAGCTACATCAAATTCCATGGTTATTTCACATGGCTATTAAATGGAAAGCTGCATGAAATTTGCCACATTCTCATCGACTCACCTCATTCTTTCCATTTTTGTTGTTGCCACCTTGTGAAATCATTTTTTCCAATACAGCAAGTAAATGTAAAGCCTTCTCAGCTTGGCAGGTCAGAAGATATAAGTCCACCAGCAGAAAGCACACTGCCTGGGCAAACTTTTCCTCTAGAAAATAAAACAGCAAACATTTAATATTGCCTTACATGGTTGAATATAGGGGATATGACAGAGGATGACAAATTGTCATAGACATACCGTATTTGCCGGCTTGTAAGATGACTTTTTTGGCCCAAAGAAAATGCCTCTAAGTGGGGGGGGGTTGACTTTTTTGGCCCAAAAAAACATGCCTCTAAGTGTGGGGGGGGGTCATCTTATATGCCAGGTGCACTTCAGTTGGGCCAGGAAGGAGCCACTGCTGCCGCCGTTGAATGAGTGACGTGGGGCTGCGCCAGCCGGGGAGGAAGGCAGCCGGGCAGGGAGGTGGGCAGTCCGGACGGAGGGAGGGAAGCAGAGCCAGCCATGCCTGAGCAGCCAAAGCCTGCCACCGGGCTGCCCACCGCCCTGCGCGCTGAGCCCGCCACCAAAGAGCCGCTTCCCCTTCTCCTCGCCCTCCTCACCGCTGAGCCAGCTGCCCGCTCGCCAGCCCCCAGAGAGCTGCTTCCCCTCCTCCTCCTCTGCTGCTGCCCCCCGCCCGCTTCCCCTCCTCCTCGCTGGCCATGAACTTCCAGGGTGGGCCCCGGGCAGCTGCCGCCAGTGCCGCAGCAGAGCCATCCACTCTATATTTTGAGTGGAAATCTTGGGGGATTGTCTTATATGCCCAGTCGTCTTGTACGCCGGCAAATACGGTATATCATTTTATTTTGGGAAGATTTTTTTTATCTTTTCAAGGATTCAAACCGAACATAGTATTCCTGAATGGCATTAAATGCCAGAGAAAACCACTCACACACTAGATTTTACAAACTTCTGAATTTCTGCATATAAAAAGGACCTGACACAGACAACTATGGATACAACTCCCGGCTGCCTTTATGCTTATAGCACCTTTAGATGTCTCTGAGAAACATCGGCTCAGTTCTACTTTCATCATTAAACTATTTTCTTCTCTGTATACATATTTAAACTGAACAAACAATCCTAACTGAAATACACAAGCTAATTCCAATTATAATATATACAAATAACTATGAAATTGCTGCGTGAAATCTATCTAGAAATATAAAAAGGAGAAAGAACAGCTTTTTGCTACCCTTACCAAAAGGTTCAATGAATTGGTAAAGCTTCTCTCCAATTACTATTGCTTCTGTGTACTGCCGCAAATGATACAAAATAACAGCCTGATTGTAATAAAGCATGCTATTTTCAACGTCATCTAAGCCATCCATTTCTTCAACAGCTGAATGAACCTGGAAGATATTAAAGAGAGATCAAACACAAACTTTCTGATTGATTTTTATAATGACAATTACAAATGAAATCACATTGGCCTATGATGAAGACTGGCCCACACAAATTCCTAACTACTTATTACTAAGATTTCCCAAAGCATTCCAGAATGTGCTAATACAAGCAAATAGTATATCCTTGGTCCTACTCTGGGTTCTCACAATGATAAAACAAAATACAGTGCATGCACATTTCATTGCTGAAATGAATGGCAAAGAGACTCTAATTAAAAGAACAAATTCGCACAATTAGCTTTTCACATAGTTACTGCAATTATGTAACGGTCTGAGCTGCTCTGTTCCCCATAAATCATATAGCAGAAGATTGTACAAATAACCAAAACCAATCAATGGAGAAGAAAGAGCTTAAATGCACTGCTTTGAAACAACTTTAACCTCTTTTAGCTGGCTGGATAGCTCAATGGTTTAGGTATCTGGCTGCAGAGCCAGAGGTTCGGAGTCTGGTTTCCCACTGCGCCTCCTATGAGTGGAACCAGCCTGTATGAACTTGGACAAGCTGTACAGTCCGAGGGCACCCCCAGAATAAGGGAATGGTAAACCACTTCTGAGTATTCTCTACCTGGAAAACCCTGGAAAAGGATCACCATAAGTCAGAATTGACTTGATGGCAAATGATTATATTATATTGCATTAACCACTTTTACTCTCCGTTAATATATTGTATCAACTGTAATTCAAAGCTATTATTCCACACTACTCACTGGTGACCACTAGTCTGTCTTTGTTTTCCTTTCTAAAAACTTGAAATAAAGTCAATCACCTTTAAGGGCCAAATAGCACCTAGTTTTGCTAATAACATTTTCATCACATCAAATATGAGGAATCAGAAATCCTCATAGATTTATTGATCTCCTTTCAATTCCATTAAAAATCTGAGCATGTATTTCCAGACGTCCAAGATACTGAATGTGTGCTATCTATCACATTTACCTTTAAGACCATTGATTTTGTGGTCCAAAAGTATACAGGGTCACAGCTTTTGATAACTAAAATTATTTTTAATCAAGCTTACTTGGAGTTATTCACCTATCAAGAGAAAAAGAGCCTTCCCAGATGTTACAAAGCGAGATCTTTTCCAGTAACTGCTGGAAGTATATACTGAGAAGGCTGGTTTTAAAATTCAAGACATCTATTTACCTTGGCTGCTTTTGTTTTTAAAGAAACATTCTTTAAAATTCCATTCCTTTTTGGAAATTACTGTCTTCATAGGACTGTGGCACTGAGAACATTTACAAGGACTCCAAGTGCAACACAAGAAAAAGCTACAGCACACACATGGATTCAATAAAAACAGTACAGTACCTGGTTTTTCAGCTGGTTAAGTGTTTGTCTCAAGTTATCTGTTGTTGTCTGATTACTTTTACAGAACTCTGCTATTGCAATATTCAAAACTATTTTATAGTCATCTTTGTTTATTTCTTGCAGATAGCTAAGGTGTTGTAGACAAGCATCATAGTTTCCAGCCTGTAAGTCGAAAGTATAGGGAGATACATTTTCAAATTTTAAAAAGTAAAATGCCTAAGCAGTTGTGACTAATCATATACCGTATTTTTCGCACCATAAGACGCACTTTTTTTCCAAAAAAACATTGGGGGAAAAGTGTATGCGTCTTATGGAGCGAAATTCCCAGATTATTTTTTCCTGTTTTCTTCCCCTAAAAATTTGGTGCGTCTTATGGAGAGGTGCGTCTTATGGAGCGAAAAATACGGTACATTTGATTACATTCAAATGCTACACACCCCATTCTAGAATAACACACGTGATCCATTCTTATTCACACTGTTTTGACAAAAACTTTATGTTTGCTCAAACACAGCTTGCCATAAGTCAGCAAACACTGGCCACTCAACTACCTTTGTGGGATATCTTGTTCGAATCAAAAGTTGGTGTTCAGGGTCATTTAAAGATTTGGATATACAGATATACAGTAGGACCCCCTTATCCACAGGATCAGTACCCACTGATTCACTTATCCACTGTCTAAAAATATTAATATTAAAAAAAATAAACCCAGGGACAAAAACATTTTCACACATATTACCAGAACAGCCACTAGAAGGAATCAGAAACCATACTGTAAATACTTGTAGCCAGTTGTGATAATACATGTGAAAATCATTTTTCCTGATTTTCCCCCTTTTACCATGCTGTATATACAGCATTCACTACTATCCACAATTTTCAGTATCTGCAGGAGACAGCTTGGAACCAATCTCCAGCGGATATGGGGGTCCTACTGTACCACGCTTAGACTAATTTCTTTTCTGGAAAAAAAAACAACAACAGAGAATTTAACATTATTGTACCTGGAAAATGGCAGACAGGAAGGCCAAACAGTATCTTTCCCACATATACATAAACTAGGTGCATTTATTTAAAAGAAAGCCCAGATTCATATCAAATTTCTCAGCAACAGCACATTTCTTAACCAATAGTTCAAATCTGATAATTAAACCAACTTTACTACTTATTACAACATTTTACATCACTAAAGAGGGAATACATTGTGCAATTTCAGATTATTTAATTTTTACTAGTTTAGACGACACCTTGTAATGCCTATTTTATATATATCTGCCTGTAGATGTAGCAGAATATTGGGATCAGTAAGAACTAGACAAAACAGCAATACAACACTCTTATATTTTACTGGACTCAGAGTCAAACTACATACTACAAATAGCCTGCCATGAAATGCTTAAAAAACACAATTGTTCTAGAGTACGGTTCTCCAAACTTTTCAGCATGAGGACAATATATATTTTACATATTTTTGAGCACTGAAGGACATGTACGCACACACGTACACATACAGGCTGAAGGGAACAGACCTGAACCTGTGGCATTTTGATGGGAAGGATAAAAAGGCAAGGTGGGCCAGATGTGACCTGCAGGCTGTAGTTTGGAGATCCTTGTTGTAGAGAAGTGATTCAGGCAGACTTTTGTGACCAAGCAATTATACTTGCAAAGCCCAAAACAAATCAAGCTAATTTCCAAAAGTGTTTCTGACTGTAACAGGTCCATTAAACATTTTTAGCAGTAAATTGACTCTTAGTCACAGGCTACCTGTACCATACAGTCTGGCCCCTATATAACAGAATGTTAATAATATCCAATATATTTCTACATATTATTTTATTCAGAGATCTAAAGGAATGTTGTCTTGTCATAAACAAGAAACATACTGGTGTATACTCCTTAATTGCTCCTGGATGCAGCAAGAACAACTAAACAAACCAGAGGTTTAATACCCAGTTAGTTTACTGTACTGTCTGGAGTGAACTGCATCTGTTCTCTGGGTTGGTTCCTCCCAGCAAGCCAAGAATGAACCACACCTTATTTCTCTGGGTTGTTTGGAGGGAACAAACCAGAGAAGGGAACTGCTCACCTCCAGATAGTACACTAAATCAACCAGAGAGAAGCACTGAAGTTTGTTCAGCTGCTGTTGCATCACACTGATGATGAGATTTAATAGCCGCTATGTTATTTTAAAGGGAAACATTCAATGTTTTACTGATGACTTTTAAAACAAAATTCTACTACAAACTTTTAAAACCCATTTTAAACTTCAAAAATAATCTCTATCTGCCCCATATTAAAAAATTATTCACCCCAATGCAAATTTGTAAGACACATAACAAATTCATAATAAAAGTCAGGCGTCTGGTGTAATATATTATTATGACATTATCACCTCTGCTACCACAGGAAATAAAGTAGGATACATGCTCTCTTACCACATGTAATTTCTATCTAATGCACTAAAAACAAAAGAAGAGTCACTCATTATCTTAATAATCACCATAAAAGCTTGCAGTGCACTGTTTGACAGCTCTTTTTCTTGATCAGTAATGGCAGAAGAGGTGCTTGCTCCTTCGTGTTTCTCTGTTCCCTGATCTGGGTGACAAGCAACATGTTAGAAATAATAGTTAACTCTAATCAGATCTTTAAGCTACTCTAAATACAGTATGTCTTGATCTAAGATTCCCATTTTTGTTACCTGATAGCTTGGTTTCATTTCTCGGCTTTTGCTTTATATGGCAAGATGGAAATAAATAATGGAAATAAATGCTACCTCCTTGTGTCCCCAGCAGTGGTGAATCTCAAGCCCTCCGGATGATTTAGTAGTGCACAACTCCCACACCATTAGCCAGCGTTTCTATTGTGAAGGCAGCGCTGCCCAAAAACTTTTAAGTGGCATCATCGCCACAGTGCTGTCAGATCGGGAATTCTCCTTTGCACCTCAATTATGTTCGTGCTATTTTTCGTCACAACTCTCTCGTGGTGAGGGGAGAAGCTGCAACCTTAGCTTCCTCCTGTGGATGTCACCTGATTCTCAGGCAGCGAACATCTCCTGCCTCTCTCAGTTTGAAATGGGATGCTCAGTCTTCCGTGGAGGTCTTGGCTCCGCCGCCGCCGCCGCCCCCCCCCTCAGCCCCGCAAAAGCCCAAACCTAAACACCCCAAAGAACGGGTCCCACCTGCCAAACCCAAGGCGCGCAACCGATATAAATAAAGAGAAACAGGGCGAGGATCTCATTCCGCAGGAGCCAGCAACAGAATTTGCTTCGCCTCCGCCTCCGGGATAGAAAACCAGTATCTCCTCCCGTCCCTCCACTCCGCGTTGCGAGTGCCTGAGAGACGTCGCCTCTTTGTCCTTACCTCCGCCTTTGTCCGCTGCCATGGCTGCCGTCTGAGGCAATAGTGGTATCTTGGTTTGTTTTTTTTTTTTGTCTGAAGAGGCTTTCGAGTGGTATGGCCTCCGCCACCTCTGCAAAAGCGCCGCCTCAGAAGCCCCCCGGCAGCAGGAGGGAAAAAAGGATAAGGTGGAAAACACACGGACGAACGCCACCCCTCAGCGTCTGACGGGACCAAGCCTTTGCTTCCGGGTTGGGCGGAAGACAAGAGGACTCTCTAGCAATCAGGTTCTCTCTCCTGCTCGCAAGCGGTGACGTCACGCGCACCCCTACGGAGTGGGCGGTGTAAGGATTGGTCAACTTGGCGTAACTAGGCGGTCTTAGGCAAGAGGAGGTGTTGCGAGTCACCTGCCAGTGGGCGGAGTTAGAGGTGGGCAGCCCATAGTCGCTCTGAGACGGGTTTGAGAAGAGGCAGCCGGGTTTGCCTGTGCCAGCCTGTCAAGCAAAAAGGAACAAATAAAGAAGAGAAGGGGGTTACAACGGTTTTGTCTTCATTTTTTTTCATTCTGTTTTTATTTTAGCCTGAGCCTGAGGGGTTGTGTTCCAAGGGTGTACCATACGTTGAGCGTTGGGAAATCGTCCTTAATTTTTATTTTCATGATCCACAAGATTTAAGGCAAAAAAAATGACATGAAATAAACATTGTTTATTTATATTATTTATATGCTGCTTTTCTTTCCCATAGAGGACCCAAGGAGGCCGCCAAGAGAAAAAAACAGCAGATAGCTCAGTGGTTTGGAGCTCTGTTGGGAGTATGATTTCCCACCGCACCTCCCAGGCGAAGAGGAAGAGCGGGTCTGTGTGGCCTTGGGCAAGTTGCATAATCCCAAGATGCCCTGAAAAAAGGTTGCCATAAGTCAGAATTGATTTGACGGCACATTATTATTATTAGCATAGGATCCAGCCAATGCTACTAAAGGCAGCATGAGAAGTTTGCAGAAACTCCCAACATTTATGAGATATAGAGGGGTGAGGAGTTTGCAACAAAATGTTGCAGTGAAGAATGAACTTATTCAGGGTTTTAACCAGACCTTTCCTGTTTTTAGCAACCACGGTAAGTTTCATTTCTTTAGTCCTAAATTGAAGATTGATGCTTAAAGAATCAACTCCAGGTTCTGGCATCAATTTTGGGGTGAACATTTGTTTCTGGAAGCTTATTTATTTATTTATTGGATTTATACCCCACACCATCTGGCAACCAGGCCACTCTGGGCAGCTAACAACAAGATAAACAGCACAATATTGAAACACGATAAAAAATAAAATAATACATACATTCTATAAATATAATCAGCAGGATAAATTAAAACAGATGGCAATGAAGGTGGTGAAATGGATGGCAAAAAGGATGGTAAAAGGCAGGCTAAGATCTCAAAAACCTAAGCTTAGTATTTTCTGTTTGATTATTTCATCATATTCTCAAATTTTATACAGTGAATAGGATACTTCATCGAGAGCCCCTGAAAAATACCCAGGGACACCAAACACATCAGTAACCTTCTGCATTGCCAGTTTTAAACCCATTGCTGCTGAATCCAGAATATATCATAGTGTGCAAAGTGACGCATTTAAGATAAATAGCCTTACACTTGCCCAGCTCTCAACTATCAATTTTGAACGTATACTATTTTGGCAGTAAATATGTCTTGTTCTGTTCCCTCTTATATAATATTCTATGGGTTACTGAGAAGCAATTACTCATGTTTTACATTAAGATGGAAATTGCTATAACCTTGGTGTGGTCATATAGAATTCCTTTTTCATGATAGGAAGTATGCTTCTGAATGAAATGAAAATAGAACTTCTAATTCATTACATATTAAATGCCCTCTATTTAAGCCCTTGACTAGCTGGAACACACCACTCAATCTATTGTCTACAACCAGAATGTCCAATATAATTACATCTCAGATACACAGGACAGTGACTCAGATCCCATCAATTTACAGCAGCCATTTCTTAAAAGTACAGTATCCTCTCAATCAGGGGTGGGGGGAGCAAATAGATAGGGCAGGGCGGGTACACAGAAACAACCTACTGCAAGAATGATTTAAAAGAGAACATGACAAAACATCATATGTTTTTAGCCAGTATAGTAAGCCACCTGCAGCTTCCTACAGTTTAGCCTTTTGCAGCTTCCAACTGAGACTATTCATAACATTGATTTTCAGCTGGTTGTCACAGTAATACTTCCATCTCCACGGCTCCCGGCAACCAGCATCTACTTGCTTACTGGACTTTCCCTTAGTCCTAAACAACTATTGAAACATAACAGGCCACACAAGAAAAATGAAAAGATGAGAACAAGACCCTGCTGCAAACTCAGGTGCCAATTGTGTCCTCACATATTCTCCAGCATCACCATTATAGGCCCTAAGAATATCATCCACAACATCAGGGACTAATTTACTTACTCATCTGCCAATGTGACATTTGCTAGCAGGGTTCCTGTGTATTCTACATTGGGCAAATGGGAGAATGTTTATGTGAGCGATTAATAATAATAAATGCATGCTCTCAAATTAACTCTGAATTATGGCAACCATTTCCAGGGATTCTCAGATATAAAGTATATGGCAACCATTTCCACATTCTATAAATGGGAATAATTCTGACCTCAGAAATGGCAACATACAAAATAAACTTTTTTTAACATTTCATTCTCTTTAACAGATCTGGATTAATATGGATGCCCAATGTGGGATAGCGGATACAGTTATGGACTAGGGCTCAAGGGTCCTGGGTTTGAATCCTTGCTTAGCCATGGAAGCTAACTGGGGGAGTGGAACTGATAAAACCACTCCTTAATTACCTCACCTTGAAAGCCCTATTAAGGTCATTATAAATCAGTTCTGACTTGAAAGCACATAACAACAGAACGCACGTATTAAAACATACACTGATTTTATCCCCAAACTTCTGCAAAGTTACAGCCGATAAGTCCTCTTCCTTATCTAACCTCAACACAAGTTCCTGAAAATATCACCAACTACACTTCAAAGGTAGTGACCTATCACTGGTGTCAATTGAGAGCCAAGCTCCTTGGGGTCAGTTAACAGGATGATAGGTACCATTATAATATGAAAGTTTATTATGAGTGTAAATAACACCACTGTCATGAAAGTTCTTTACCAATGCCATTTTCTTTCTTTTCGCCATTTTGTTTGGTTCCCCACCTCACTACTATGTACTTGTGGCCAGACTATTACATTCTGTGTGTCTGAGGAAGAATTTTGTAATACATGAAAGTTCACAATGAAATAAATATGTGAGTCTTTTTATGGTAGTGTAATTAACCCCTTCATGGATTGCTGCCTAGTCGTGGTGAAGGGGCTTGAGTAACTCAGAGAAGCTGTGGGCTATGCCATGCAGGGACACCCAAGATAGACAGATCATGGTGACGAGTTCTGACTGGACGAAATCCACCTGGAGTAGGAATTCCCAAGCCACTCCAGTATCTTTGCCAAGAATACCCCATTAACAGAAAAAAAAGTAACCCCTTCATGGATTGCTGCCTAGTCGTGGTGAAGGGGCTTGAGTAACTCAGAGAAGCTGTGGGCTATGCCATGCAGGGACACCCAAGATAGACAGATCATGGTGACGAGTTCTGACTGGACGAAATCCACCTGGAGTAGGAATTCCCAAGCCACTCCAGTATCTTTGCCAAGAATACCCCATTAACAGAAAAAAAAGTCTAAAATATATGACACTGGAAGATGGGCCCCTCAGGGCAGAGGTGTCCAACATGTTACTGAGGAAGAGCGGAGGACAAGTACAAGTAGCTCCACAACTAATGAAGTGGTTGGGTCAAAGCTGAAAGGATACTCAGCTGTGGATGTGCCTGGAAGTGAAAGGAGAGTCCGATGCTGCAAAGAAAAATACTGCATAGGAACATGGAATGTAAGATCTATAAACCTTGGGAAGCTGGATGTGGTCAAACAGGAGATGGCAAGAATAAACATTGACATCCTGGGCGTCAGTGAACTAAAATGGACAGGAATGGGAGAATTCAATTCAGATGACTATCATAACTACTATTGTGGGCAAAAAGCCCATAGAAGGAATGGAGTAGCCCTCATAGTCAACAAAAGAGTGGGAAAAGCTGTACTGG